CATTGGGAAAATCTTTCGCGACGATGAAACGGTCGATGACAGAAACGTGGAAGGATTTTCTGAACGTCGAGGCCGCGAAACAGAACTCGTTATTCGTTCGACAATTATCCAGCGTAGAATTTCTTTCGCTGGAAGCGTATAGAGAGTCTCCGCGAACAGCACGATTTTTAATTAGAAGTAAACCTTTCACCCTGTGAATTTTAATAACATATTGTGGCGAAAGCTTTCATTCCAAGCTACCATTGTTGCCAAACGAGACGCAATTCTGTCTCTGTCCGTAGGAACACTTCGCTTCCGAAGCGTCGTTCGTTGAACTCGCGGTTGCGGATCCATTTTGCGACAAGAAAATGGGTTATTTATATTCAGTATACACGCTGACAAAATTCTGCCGGAAAAACGGGAACGGTATACATTTTTACAATCCGTCGATAGGGGGAAAAGAAAAACACTAGAGGGAGGATATAAAGTATCCAAAAGGAGGCTGGATATTATCTGACGGTGAATCGCGTTCCTTGCAAATGTACCACAGCGAAATATTCCCGCGCAATTTTGAATTCATGACTAAGCGATTATCGACTTCCGCCGTTCTCTTGGCGATCGAGCTTCTCTCACTTCGTAAAAGCTCGAGCAACGGTAGAAAATGTTGTAGGATGGCTGCACGGTGAACTCGCATTTAACGAACCTTTACTACACCGTTTTCACTGGCTTCCGCTATAACGGCTGGGTTTTAAGCTCTTTTTCCGCTTCCGACAACGATTACCGGCTTCCCTAGCTGGCTGCTCGCGAGACGATCACCGATGGATTGATTTCTACTCGGGGAAACCACGAGATTCCACCGTTTTCTTTGAACGACAGTAACGTGGCTGATATAACAATTTCAACTAACCGTAGAAAATTATTTTACTTCGATCGTTCGTGGAAAATTGAACGGTTCGTGAGAATTGTATTGTGGAGTAATGCCAAAACGTTGAATAACACGCTCGAGAATGAAATTATTCGAATATCACTCGAGGGAGGCTGTCGAAGGGGAAGTTGAAAGAGAGGAAACATAGAATATGTATCGAACGTTCCGAGCGTATTTCACGAAAGGAATAGTAAAACGAATGGTATGGCCAAGTGTAAACCTTTCATTGGTATTTGACCGCAAAACGCTTCCGCTCGCTTAAAGTAGATCAAAAATTCTCTCGTTGCGCTCGTAAATATCGAGAAAAATAATTCACCAACATTGGGCTGAACCGATCGACCGGGTTTTACCTACACCGATGCGAATAAATCACCGTTTTCGCGTGCCGTTCAGCACATACATATATATTCGAATAACATAATACGAGCGGAAATACGAGGGGAAAAAGTATTTCCCAACAAATGTTTTTTGCGATACGATTGATCGACAGTCTGTGATTAAACGGGGTGAAAACAGTTCGGGGATAAAAGACGAATTGTATTCATGGATTTATAAAAAAACATAACAGATTTAACGAATATTTTACTGACACATCAGTTTTCATATACCGTGTAAATTGTAACTATGAAAAATTTGAGTTGATCGATCGAATGAACGAATTCGAGGTGTCTTGTTTCGAGGAATAGTTTGTCAGGGAATGTCGTTTCGCGTTCGTGTTCGGGTATAGAAACCGTAGTTACCGGTTTCTCAACGGGGGTGTCGTTCTGCACATGATCGCGTAATGGGGGGTGTCGTGTGCCGCAGCTGCGAAACAGAGGCTATGGGTAAGAGGAGGAGCAGATTCGGTTGTTTGCAAACTACACGCCAACGCGTTCGCCGCATCTGTACAATCTGCATCGTCCTCTTCCCAGTCAACCCCTACTTGGAAACCTCAACCTGCTGGTTCGTGCCAGTCTCCGGGAAAAACAGCCGGAAAATGGGTCGAATGGAAAAGGGAAATGGAAGAATGGCGAGCGATATTTTCAAGCGAGGGTTGCCTGCTCCTTAGCATCCCCTGATCCCTCATGGAAATGAAATAAATAATTCTATGGGGAAAAAAGAAGGGTTCGACGATTAATCGTAAGGGAGGATCGCAGGAAATTATACGATTGATATAATCAGGGAACTGATGGATTTGTTATGGTTGAGATGCAATTGATTATTTTAGGTAAAGCAATTGTCAAGTACCATTTTATATATGCATGGAGATTTCTCTTATTTAAACACAGAAATTTAATTCGAAACTTAGAAATGAATTTGCATCTATTACCTTCGCGCAGACTTGACCGTATTTCCCAGTTCCTTCAAATTTAAATGCGGTGAATATTTGACCTAGGAGGAGAACTTTACGAGTATCGTTCAATTATTTCCTGAAAGTTCCCAAAGTGAATCTTCGCTTTCCTCGACAACACTCGTGGTTTCGTAGAATTGTTCGCGACAACACGATGACCGTGTTCGATTGCGGATAAAATTATCTCTCCTTAGTCGGGAGCAATGCAAACGTAATAAAGTCGCGGATCTCGAGGAAGTTTGCTTCGTGGATGGTTAAAGGAGTTTGCTTACGTGCGGCGAGTGCAGAAGATGGAAAACGGTTGGGACGTGTACTACAAGTAAATTATGGCGGCCGACTGTTGTTTTAGTCCTGTGGTTGATCCTGCCTTTGTGTACAAGCGAACAGGAAATTGGCAGCCTCTTAATCGATGTTGAAACGTGTTTGAGCGTCGGAGATAAGCGATGGTCACGTAAAATCTAATCTCTGATGAAGTAATATGCAACAAGGTGTTGAATAATCAATCAACGAACACGTTATTTGACCAATCGTCATAAATATGTGGTGGATAATTTTCATTTTTGCTTTTCCATCGAAAAGCAGCTAATTGTTGGTAAGTTCAAGAATAACTCGAACAAAAGCTGCAGTTGGGTGGAAAGCAAAAGCCATTCACCGCATTACCGTGGTTTCATTCGCCTCGACGACGTCATCGTCCCTTCAGAAGTCCTTAAATTAATTACACGACGGCCGTGTACGAAAACAAAGTTACCCGGGTACACGGCGAAGCCACGTTTTCGACGAGGGATTGTCCCTCTTTGGCGAGGCTGGTAACGAACCTCCCGGTTCAACGGCCCGAGGCGTTCATTCGGCCAAGATAAGAAAGACAAAGGAAAAGAAAAAAAAAAAAAATTAATCACAGGCCTTGGCCAGGCTCCTGGCTTCCCTTCCGGTCCATTTTCACGGCCCATTTTTCTCGTATCGCGCCACGCTGGATCGAGAAACGTAGCAAGAATGCGGGCTATCGTTTTCCCCGTGATTTTTCACCACCTTCTGAGAAATGGAAACGGTGGGCGTGTTATCCTCGTGTCTGTTCCACTTTTATCTGTGTTCCTGTCTCAACTATCGATACCAAACGCCAGTGAATCGTTCGTAAACTGTCGGTGATCCGTTTCCAGATTTGTTGTCGATCGATGGAATCTCCTTGGTTTTCCTTTTTATTCGTTTCTTTAGTGGATCGAGCGTGTGGAATTCAGGAAATACTGAACTACCAGCGAATAGTGGTATTTTAATATAACAAGCTGAAATTTTTCTTCCTTTCTTCCTATTTTAAGATCCTTCAGTGACCCCGTTTCGACGTAAAACTATTTTTATTGTATGCGGCAGTGAAGTTGAATACGCGTAACGAAATTATATTTTTCCAAATTTTTCTATTATTCTTCTGAGAGAAATAATCGAAGGAAATTTATGAAAGAAATGAAAATTATAGAAGCTACGAAGGTTTATACCCGAGATACATTTCATTAATGAACGGTGACGATATCCGATTTCATAGTTGAATTAATATAGTCGAATCGACCCAGTTTGACGGAAGGGCTACTAAACTCATTAACATCCAGTATTTATTCTTCCTGCTCGACAGCCAAAGTGACCTACTTCGAAGATAAACAGGAAAACTGCAGCTAGCATTTAATGCATCAACAGCAGTATTTATTTTGCTCAATCAATATTCCAGCTTCTAGTAAACGTAACCCGATTCAAGAACAAACAGGAAACGCGTTATTTAATTGTATCCTCCTGACACTATTCGTCGCTTGATACGATATCAGTTTAACTTTTCTGTTTCATATAAATTTTACTTTTCATGTATAAATCCCAGAATATCAGGAAAAAAAAAATATAACTTGCTGACCCGAAAGAGATTCCTATTCAACGAAACATCTTCACGCGTTTACACGAGCACAGAATGAACAGTCTAATTTCAAGGGATTAATTAAACGAATATTTCCGGTCACTTACGAGGGGTTAAAAATTCAGCCCCTACTGTCTCGATTACACCAACCGGCACATCCATTTCTTCTAACTTTTTATTTCAATTAACACGCTAAATTTTCACGTGTACGCCGTGTCCGTTTCATCCCGTGCAGCGCATCAAGAGCATCGCCGCCACGAAGCACTCCTAATTAGCTTAATTAGCGCTTTCACATCGCCTTCAAATGCTAATGGAAATTATGCCGGCGTTCGTCGTAACGTTACGCGGTAAAAAAACGCGCGTTCAGCAAAGAGAAAAAGAACGAGGAGCAGGGGGAGAAAGAGGAGAGAAAGAAGTGGTGAAGAACCGGCGCGGAAAAAGGCCGCAAATTCTTTTTCAGGTCAAAGGATTTCTTTTCACGTCATCTGCCGCGAGCTCAACAGCCGACTGAAAATAAAAATGACCTCGCGGAAAAGTCCTTCTCCTCTTTACTCTCCTCTCCTGTGTTTTTTTTCTTCATGGCCAACCTGGCCTGGCTTTTCCCGTTTCTGCCAGGCCACTTCATTTTTCCCTCCCTCAGCCCTTGCCGTATTTTCTTTTCGTTGCCACGCATGGCCACGAGCCTCTTGATTCCGGTTAATTCGACTCGTACGCGATTTTTCCACGAATTACCTACGTTAGCGACGAAAAATTATTTCGCTTTTCAACCGCTTGCAAAGCCCCCAGCTTAATTAGCCCACCCCCGACAAGACATAAATATACGCGTTAAGAGAGTACTTTGCACGAATAGAAAACGTGATTTCACGCTGGTCACTCACCGATCTCCAGGTATTTCTGATGCACCGGGTCGTATTGATCCCATGTCAGACTTCGGAAACGGCTTTTCTCCCGGCTGGCAGGCAGCAGAGTGTCGTTTCGACCATGGTGATCGATCACGTTCGGGTTCCTGGAAGGAAAACGTGAATCGATATTTAGATATATATCGATCGTGGCCATAGGGAGATCGAGTTTTCAACGATACCGATCGAGCTACAAGAAATATGTCATTTTGATTCCTGAAGTCGTAAAGTTTCGACGCTGATTTTTTTATTTCAACTTATTTGATTTCAAAGCTCACCCCTATTTTCAAATAAATTTTAAGTATAAAAAGCACGTCCTGTAAGGTAGAAACCACGATACACAATGAAAATATAATATAGTTGAAACGAAGCGCGCTATGGAATTTCTGCTGGAAACTAGCGCTAAGTAGTATTAGTCAGCGCTTGGTCAGACATTATACTTTTTCCCGCGATAATCAGATTTCGGGCTTCGGTAACAACTCGACCGATGCCAAAATTAGAATTTACGCATTCGATGGTCGTTAATTCTACTTTCTAGAGAAAGAGAAAACTTTTCAGATGAAGGGGACACACGAAGGAAGCAGCGAATTAACGCAACAAGTAGCGAATCGAAAGGGAATTAAGCGACGAACAACGAAGGGAGTTTTGTTCGGACGTTTTCAGTCGAACCACGAAGCAGCTGAAAGAAGACGGGGCCAGAATTCCGAATGAAGGGGTCGAATTCGAGACACGGTTTGGCCATAATTCACTATCGAGAACTTTGCTTGTCCGCGGGTTCGTGCATACAGCGTAGAGGCCAATGTTCTATGGCGACATCCACCCCTCTATACCCCTTCGATTACTTTGTCCTGCTCTCCAGGAAGTAATACACAGCCGAGACAGTGTTTACGGTGCTAGTACACGTTCCCCTGTGTCCTCTGTACAACGAGAAACCTCCTTTATCATTCAACTCCTTTGTCGAAACGTGGTTGGATTTTTATACTGACCGAATTCAATGTTTGCTACTTCAAAGGAATGCGTATATAAAAAAAAATTATTGTACGATAGTTTCCAAGAAAATTATTTGATGAAATATTACAAATTAAGGGAATTTTTCGTGATTTTAATTTCAAGTTCAAACTTAAATTCCATTTATGCTTTTAATTAAAATTACCCTTTAACTATAGTAACACGATAACGAACGAAACTTTCAATCCGATTAATAATTAGAAATACGTTGTACGCCCTGCAAAGTTATAACCAAACACTGTAACGTAGTTTAATTGAATTTCGTAACAAAGTTATTATTTATAATTCGACGAATAAGTTTCTCGTAGAGACACGGTTTCCTGTCAAAATTTTCAGGAAAAATTCGTGCGTCTCGCAACAGCGAGATTGATATCCCTTTTTGCCCGAAGCTGGTAACGTATCCTCGCGTCAACCATGAAAAACAGAGACGCTCTTTTTACGAGGAAGAAAATACGCTCGATTTGCGAGGGAAAACTCGATTTCACGCCGAAAGAGGATATTAGAAGGAGGAAAAGTTTCGTGCGCGTAGCGGAATCCGCGAAACGGCTTGTAAATGCTTTCGAACGACACGAGATGCGGGAAACGAAATGGATTTTCAGCTTTCCCTCAACGAAAGTAGGTTTACTGTCGAAAAATACGTCAACTATACCCGCCTGAATAGGCAAAAGTCCTGCTTTCAGTGATAAGAAATCTTTAAGTCCGGACCGGACGTGATTCTACGTTTTTAAGCTCCGTTTTCATGGTAAACGTGAAAGGTCATGGTGAGACGACGAAAATTGCTTTCTTCGATTTATAATGGATCATCCGGTTCTAAATTTTCGGCTACCTGCTATTTCGCAAACTAACGACGAAATCATCGTTCAGTAATCTGTTCAGTTATCTCCTTTCTGTAATTTCCCTGAGCGAACAGGGCTTCGTAGCTGTTTCCGGTCGGCAATCATTGCTTCCAGGACGTTTCATTTTCTTCGCGAGGACAGCATGGAAACCGTTGAAGTAATAAAACGACCATTACTTTGCAATCTTCGCGTTCTTCTTCCTTGGAAAGTTTCATTTAAAAAGAAACAGAACCTTCATTTTAATCAGTTGTCCTTAACTTCGTAGGAAGAAATTCAGAAAGTTATCCTCCTTCCGTTGAACGTAATATTTCGAACACGATCGATATCACCAATGAAAAACGGGAAAAAAAGGAATTGATTTCTGTATCAAAACGTCCGTGCTTTTTGGTCGAGGGAATATTTAATCGAAGCGTCAAATTGACCAACCGCTGTGTTACTCGTTTCCAAAAAAAAAGCGAGAGAGCGAGAGAAATAGCCGTCGATCCCAATATTCGTGGCGATAATGGTATCGAAGCAACGTATTATTCACGATTCGGGAGATTTATAGTCGGACAGGGGATAAATGTTAAATTTTGCGATGCTTGATTTCCAAACGGTTTGACGAATCGAGCCTCCGAGCGGGAAAATATTTTCCTGTCCGACCAACGGCGACAAATAATCGCGAAAATTGGCCTGGTGGTTTCGAATAAATACCGTAGGTATAACCGACAGTTGGGAACCAGATAAGGCTACAGATTCTAGATTACATTTGTACACAAATTTTCTCGTCGATGGATAATTTGTATAAGCGGAGCTGAATTTTATGCAGAAAAATGCCAGTGGAATATTTATTTCTTGGAAGAGTTAACGTGGATCCGGGGTAAGAATATCCCGTCCACTTTAATTCTGTAATTAAAGAGGTAAATGGTAATCCTCGGACGCCCCAATTGTGCTTCTCACGTTTAAAGCACCAAGTCCCTGACCCGTTTCCACGTTGAAGTATCTTGAACGGAATTCCCAGCGGGCCAATGTATAGTCACGAATTTCGGATTTACTGGATCAAGTGGTTAAAGAGGCGCGTATCGTGTCGGAATTGAAAGTAAGGGACGAGTAGTGTCGTGCTAATATTCTTTTAGGGTTACGAACCTTCTCCAAAACTATTATGATCTTATTTTATTTCCAGAAGAATTAGAATATTTGATTAACATTCTGAACTTTGTACACCAAGTACTTGGAACGAGGTGGAATCATTGTATGAAATCAAATGTAGGTAGTTGTAGGGATCGATTTGGCGGTGATCCAAAAGGTTCGATATCGAGCAACGATGATGCTCGTTGATGGCTTCAAGGTTGTCCTGGTGGAAAGAGAATAGGCAACCATAGAAAAGTTGGCAAGCGATTCGAGACGTCTTTGTTCGTCGTCGCGTTGATTGTAAGCTACTGGCAGTGGCTACAAATCCAACAAGATTGGACATGCCTTTGTTTTCGAGGTGTCTCGAATCTGCGTCAAAGGCATGTTCAGTCTTGTATCTGTAGTCACTGCTAGTAACTTCAGGACTGTCAATTTGTTTCTCGTAAGCCGATGACATACGGTGTCGACGCCTGGTTGGTTTCAACAATGACACCTCAGCTTCCGGATAAAATTCCGAGTCAGAGGCGAGAACAGGCCAATCCGGGATCACATCGATTCGTTTTCCCTCGCGTTGTTCGTTGGACAGATCGCCCTCCAATATTACCAATCATTTCACGTAGTATTGTAATTTGAAAATTTCTCCGTGTTCTACAGGGATATTGGAGATTCCTGGAACCGCTAATAGCAATTTAACCAACGCGTAGATCCAGGTAGAGTGTAATTAAGTCTCGCGTCGTTCGCCAACGCACTATCGTTCTCCAAACGCGTTTCGCTCGTTCCATAAACGAGAACCGTGCAGATTTTGTGACCACCTAACGTTACACAGAGTGTTATGAAACCATGTGCAAGAATTTCGACCGCATTAGTCGAGTTGTAAACCCTCTAGCAATCCAATTTACTACACAAAGTTTGTTCGATCAATGAAAACAATAGATCCTATCGTTCCGAATTTCACTCGAAAGTTTCATGCATATCGAAACATTTATTAAATCAATTTTTAGCCCGCGGTAGATTTCACCGTGTCCTTGTTACACTCGACGTGCGTTCAATCAATATATCCGCTTAATTAAATTCCGTAGCGCGACAACGGCAGAAAATTTGTTTCGAAAATGCAAATCAGCCAGAGTTGGAACATTTTTCAGCGAGAAAAGGGCTGCCTCTGTTCTTCGAGCATCGTGTCGTTGCTTCGTTCGAGGGGGTGGGGGATGGACAGGAGCAATGCATCAGCGGGTTAATGAGCAAACTTTAATATTCTCCCGGACTAAAACTCAACCCCGACCACCATCGCTTCTCCAACGAGCATCGAGCAATCCTTGAATATAAAAGAGTGAGAAACACGAAAGTGAGAACAGAGGGTGCGTTCAATTCTATACACGACTGTCACAAATATTGTAAATCATCACAAGAATTGATATAGAGTTTAATTTAACTTTAATTAAGAAGATAGGAAGAAACCGCGTATAATTATCAACGGCAATAGCCCAGAAGTTGTTAAAGGCTCGTTTGAAGTTGGCCTCGTTGAGATTCAGAAGCGTCGTTACATTAGAATTAGGACTCGGTTAAGCTCGAATTAAGCTTGCTGGACGTTTGCTTAACGGGAAATTTGGCGGTCTACCAAATAAAGCAAACTTTTCTCAGGGTTTGATATTTCTTATCGCGATTATGTTCAGTCTTAAATGAGTCAATACGAAAAATTAAATTTTAAACTAAAAAATTCCTGATTTCAAAGTAGAAAATCCTCAATCTTAAATTAGAAAATTTGCTAATTCTATAGTAGAAAAAAATTTCTTGAAGATCGAGGAAAATAGAGCGGAGAATCGGTAAGAAAGAAGGCAATCAAGTGTAGCAAGAAGAAGAAGCGAAGATAGGAAGATAATTCGAAGACAATTAAAAGGTTCATCGAAGAGTCAGCACTCACAGGTGATCGATCGCTGACACAGCGTGAAATTGGTGTTCGCCAGGGCGAAATGTGACTGGAATTCGATTAATCGGCCCTTGTTCCACGGCCAGGATAATCGAGCGTCGACCGAATCTCCCGATCTTCGAGTCGCTTTTAAACACGGATTTCCACGGGAATTCTCGATCACCGTGGACCTCGAATCCTCCTAAAGAGCCTAACTATAATCGAGTGATCATGCCAATGAAAAGAGCTA